CCTATAAAAAGGTTCAAAATTGGTAAATTTGAAGGGTAGATGAATCGCGAAGTGAAATAATCCTTTGAGCTGTTCAGATTGATTTCTATTTTTATTGAATATTTTACTCACCTGGTCTAGTATCGAACTTTGAAATAAATCATTCTTGTGCTAATTATTAATTCTTTTGAATGGTTGACAAAGCATAAATTTGAAAATTGAATTTTGCCTCTATATTGCCCCACTTGTTATTCCATTGTTTCATTAGAAATGAAACGACGGATCCTGGTAGAAATGCTGCAAGCTCGCCATACATCCCCACCGTTCATTATAATTTTAATTCATCAATCTCTGGTGAAAACCGAGCAGATCATCGCCTTCGATCGGTCAATTCGCTTCATTGCTCCAGTTTCAGTTTAAATACGTTGCTCTTCTCGTTTCATGGATCCGTGAGCGTGTATACGAATAGACAGTGGTATCAGATGGAGATGATCTTGTTGCTGGCTTTGTGGTAAACCGCGTTCAGTTGAATTTCCCAGATACATGACTGATTGCACGATCCTGCCACCGGCGAGATTTATTTCGCGATGTTTTCCGAATAACAAAGCAGCCCATCTACCACGACAACCTTAAACGCAAAATGACTTCTTTTTTTTTTAAGGATTATGAATTTTATCGTATACAGTTTTTTGAATCTGGGTCAAAATTTGTTATTTAGTCAATTATCTTTGTCAAATTGTTATTGTGAACATTCTTACGGATAGCGAACGTGCGAGTGAATTATTAAAATTAACAGGTTTGGAATTTGAGGAATTTTGCATTCTTAAATAATACTGCGGAAAATTAAATTTCACGTGTGGTTATGCAGTATAATATTAATTAAGATAAAAGTGAATATTTTCGTTAAAAGAAGAATTTGATTGTTTCAAATGATACAAAATGTAAAAACAGTTAATTCTAAATATATTTGTGAATTACAAAATTATCAAATTAAAATGTTACAAGGTTGCAAAATTACAAAATTGAAAGGTTACAAAATTACAAATTCACAAAGTTACAAAATCACAAGTTCACAAAGTTACAAAATTACAAAGCTTTAAAGTCAGAAATACAATTATACCAAATTTTTTAACATCAACAATTTTCATTTTTAACAAATACAACTGAGAAGAACAATTAATCGAGATCAAATCGATACGTCGATGATTAATTGTAAGTTGGAGATTCGCGAACAAATCAGAGAGATGTAGAAATTTAGAAATTTTTAAGCGGACGATCCGAGCGTTTAAGCAGCTTACCAATTTTTCTACGCTTCTGTTGCAACATTGGCCCGGCTGTTTCGTTAACCTCGTTCCCTGGCCTTTCCATTTAAACTTTCCAGAAGGGAGATTAGCCCCTGGAATCTCTCTACCTCCCGTCCCATATACTCGTTGATGTCCTTTCACCGCGATTTCGCTCGGCAGAACGTGGAAATAGAAGAAATGTAAAAAAAAGTGTTCAATTAATTGAGCAATCACTCGAAGTATGATAAAAATTTTGTTGAATGATAATTTAAATTTCAAACGAAATACTGAATTTCCTGGTAAATTTTTTCTGCGAGTACTGAAGGGGTTGAAAAATTATTTGTAACTTATTTATTACTTCCAAGGTAAACGGTGATATTTACATTAATTTTCCGTTTCTCCACTCTAAAAGTCATTCTAAGAAATGAATTAAATTGCAACGACATTCTGCTACTGAACTTCTCAGTTTGTCATAGTGAGGGTAAAACTCTACAGAATTGATGATACCTTATTAAAAAGAGAAACAGAATTCCAATAATATTTGCAACAATATTTCGA